TTTCATGTTGCTGCTGATCTGTTTCATGTTGCTGCTGATCTGTTTCATGTTGCTGCTGATCTGTTTCATGTTGCTGTGTTAATTCGTACTCATCTGCTCACACAGACTCATGTTCGTGCTGCTGTTTGGCGTATTGTTTCTATGCTACTAGTGCTTAAGAGTATTTTTAGTTCTTTTTCTTAGTTCATACCTGAGATCTTGTTACAGTTTTTCTTTTACACTTTAATATTTTTGTTAGATGTAATTGGGACCCTGTCTACACAATTTCGTTCCGCCACATGTACCACATGTGGTGTGTGGTAAAGGAACTTGAACCTTGACAACAATGCTTTCAAGGTTTGACAGAAACAGCTAGAACTTGTTTCTCATCATAAAATGATCTTAGTATAAACTTCAGCATGAAAGACAGCGGGTGATATGCATTCCTTGAACAAATCCAAGTCATTTAGCAATTTGTTGCAGATATTGATATCTATCTATATATCCATCTCTATCTCTCTGCTTGCCTGACTGACTCACACACTCTCCAGAAAATACGGTCGTTGTGGCAGCCATCTTGAATCAAGCTAACTCCAAATGTTCATCAGTTGTAGATGAACAATCATTACTTTGAGAGTTTCATTAAAGTGGTTCATGAGATATTCTGCTAACTGACAATTATTTACACACAGGCAAACTTATTTCTCTCTAAACTGAGGAGCAAACATTGACCACCGTCATTTTAATTGCAAAAAGCCACATTTCATCTCCAAGGCCTCTTGCCACAAAGTTTTACAATTATTCTAGAAACACGCATCCAGGGGTGTGAAGCCAAGACTGAGGTTTAACATTTTTAAATGGATACTAAGAAAGCCAGAAAGGCTCTGAGGATTATTCCAGAGCATTTATATGATGTGTGTGTTAACATGAAATATTCCTGATCTTTTCCTGGTTCTCACCTGTTTTTTCTCCTCGTTCTCCTTGATCACCTTTCTCCCCTTTGAAGCCTCTCTCTCCTCTGTCTCCTGATGACAGAAAATATCCATTACTTTAAATCATTTTAACGCTTCAAGAGAAGATAATCAAACGATCCATGCATATAACAAATTGTAAAAAAAACTGCTTGCTTATCAGCTGATTGATCAAAACAATCCTAACGCGTTAAATTGAGTCAACCATAATTAACTCGCAGGTAAAACATAAGCCCAACCACTCACTTTTAAAACTTTTTTTTTAAATTCTCACACCCGTTTTCACTCGTCATTTTCAGCAGAGACCTTTAAAAGTACAGAGCCCTGTAATTGCCTCCAATACGAGCATTAAAATGTAGAAATTAGAGGCTACCTCCCGATTCCCGTGCTTAATTTACCTCAAGTATAAAAACAGATGGGAGTTTGTGAAGGTACAGCGCTGGAGCACGTTTGACATGTAAATGTTGGATTAAAATAAATAAAAAACTGCGAGATTACTCACAGTAAGAACACTTTCTGGGAAATAGTGTCACCTTTACTCCAAAAATACAATTATTTCTTGCTTTTGAAATACAATTCAGTGCCAAACTAGAAAAAAAAATCACCTTTGAGCCGCCAAGTTTATTTTTTTCCTCAACCATGAGGTTAGAAAACCACAAATCTGTTTTTACCATGAACCTATAAGAGGATCAGCTTAAACTGGGCATTAATCCCACCTTTAATTTTACTTTTTTTTATAAAAACATAAGACCACAGTGTAGGTGTCAGCCCCTCAGTCCCACCCGTCATGTTTTACTGTAGTGCCTCCAACACTCCACCACACCCTGACGGTGACGTCCTCTGCTGTCAGAGCTTCATACGTCTTTAACCACGTAACAACTAAATTAGACTGTAGGAAAAAACACAAACACTCCATAAACTACTGCTGAGCCACAGAAGACAGCGAGCCGTTCAAGTACCAGAAAGTTCAGTTGGTGCTTAAAGATGGCAGATAAATTAACTAATAGCTTTTGTCACTTAAGTTTTGTTAATAAATGCCAACGATCCTTACAGAATGAACTGAACTTTACTTTTGTCTGAAGAGAGGTCATGTGGAAAGCTTATGAATAATTAATATCTAATCTGTTGCAGGTAGATTTCTGAACTTCCTCAATTAATTCTCAATAAACTCAGATCAAAGTGGGTTAAAACAATTTACCTAAAAAATGTCAAAATAGTTCAGGTAAACCATTTTATAAACCTTCACATTGCCTTTTATTTCTTCTTACATGTTTATTAAACATAATTTTTGTGGTTATTTGTAAATACAAATAAGCTGTAGCACTTCAGGTGCAATTAGGGGGAATTTCCTGCAAAAACATCACAATATTAATTCAAATTTAAATCGGTATAAAAGTTTAGAAAATCTAACATGAACCTTTTTATCAAATGGTTGTGATTCGAGTCATTTTAGGGTGATGGCAGCCTAATTCGGTATTGGTCGTGCTAAAATTATCCATTAGCTTGTTAATCTGTTTGGAATTAAACTAAAGGACATTAAACATTTACACAAAATGAAAGTTTGTCTAACACGTAATCAATCACTAATGGAGCCAGTTTGTCCCACATAAGCTTGAGCTTTCAGAAAAAAAGGAAGCATTGCCGAACCAAAAGAGGTGTGGAGTAGAAAGCTGAGTTTACATGGAGCTTTACACATTAAAAATGTGGTGGGTGTGTCCCTCAGACCATTAAAACAAGATGAATTAATCACTTTGATATTTGTTGGTAACCATATTCTTTAAGTTCTGTGCGTCGTCGATCTTCTCTTAATGATAAATCTGTTGTTTAGTCTTTTAAATCCTGCAGTCAGGTGGTCACATAGACCAAAGACTGCTTAGCCGATCATTTTGGCTCTGTTACTGCCTCGCTTTGCGGAACAAAAACACATCAGAGGTGGGTTGGCTTCAACCCACCTCTAAAGCTGCTTCAGTCAAATGAAAATTCACTAAGAGGGCCAGGAGCCATCTATGGTCCAGTCCACAAAACACCCGCATTATGTGATCTGCAAGTCTCCAACGTTCATGCTCAATAATCCAGGTAAAAATCCAACAATGTTCAGTCAGCTCATCTGGACGCTTTCTTTTTTTTGCTGAGATGTTTCGTCCTTCATCAAAAGGACTTCTTCAAATCTGAAGAGCCACCAAACAAACTGATTTCCACAAACGGCATACTCCATAGTGGGGGAAAAAACCTGTTTGCTGGTGCGAAGGTGGCCTCCGGGGCCCGCCCTCTTCCCCGTCACCTCCTTTGAGACAGTCATGCCAAAGCGGTTCAAAACGCCAAAGTTCAACAATCAGGTCATTTGAATGGTTTATTTTATTTATTTTTATGTTGGTGTATGCTGTTTGTAGAAATCAGTTTGTTTGGTGGCTCCTCAGATTTGAAGAAGTCCTTTGGATGAAGAATGAAATGTCTCAGCAAAAAAAGAAAGAAAGAAAGAAACTGTCCAGATGACCTGACTGAACATTGTTGGATTTTTACCTGGATTAATGAGCATGAACTTTGGTGATTTGAACCGCTTTGGCATGACTGTCTCCGAGGAGTTGACGGGGGAGAGGGTGGGCCCCGGAGGAGAGGGTGGGCCCCGAAGGCCAGCTTAGCACCAGCAAACTGTTTTTTTTTTTCCACTATGGAATATGCTGTTTGTGGGAATCAGTTTGTTTGGTGTCTCTTCAGATTTGAAGAAGTCCTTTGGATGAAGGATGAAACATCTCAGCAAAAAAAAAAGAAAAATGAAACCATCCAGATGACCTGACTGCACACTGTTGATCTGCAAATGATTTTGTTTTTATTGTTTCAGCCTTTAGTTCACAAGGAAACGGTATTTTAAGAGCCCGTAAATGATATTTTCAAAACTGGATTCTAGGGTGATACCACTGCAAACTCGTGTGAGCAGCCTAAACACAACATATCAAACAATGGTGTATGGAGGGTTACATTTATTTATTTCATGATGTATTTATTTATTTTTGTCATATTCCACCCTCCATACCTGGCTCCAATGAAACTGATCATATTCCTGCTCGTGTCGCAGATGCCACTTTCTCAGCTACAGCAAAACATTTGTTTACTGTTTAACTTCAATGGTAAACAAACGAGGCCGATAAACTATCAAACTGCCTTCATCAGAGCAGAGCAGAAACTTTGAATAATCCAAGGCCAAACTATATTTTTCATCACTTTTTTGAGCAGTTAACAATACTACAGCAAACGAAGAAAAACACAAACCGTATAAATCCAGTTTATCTTTAAAAACTTGGGAAATGAGAATAGTTTTAAATACCGACATTTTTGTGACATATTGTTTTGGAAAAACAAACAGCTGAGTTTGTTAAAAGAGCTATCTACAGCAGGTAAGGTGTTAATTGCTCATAAACTTTCCACAGAACTTCACTTCAAAAGATTTCAGCTACCCCTAGAGGGAAATTTTAATTCTGCTTATTAAAAAACGGTTGTAAAAACTGTAGACGCCATAATACTGACAATGTTGACAACAAACCCTGTTCAACTTCAGATGAACCTTGATGCTTTTGTTTTTTTTAGGAGCTAAACCCTCCATTTGTACGTGTTCATCACTCTTCTAAAAGATAAACCACAGCTGTTTTTACAAGGCTTTCCTGGAGGGTCCTGCTTCTACCACACCGCCTCTTCACTCATCAGTGGACGGTCATCCAGTGGGTAGGCGGCCAAACATCGAAAGAAAATATCTTATATTATCTCATATTTTGAGTAAAGTTTCAATTAGTTCAGTCAAATGAAAGAGAATCACTCGTCACGCTAGTTTTTCCATGTTTTCTCGTGTTTATGTCAAACTAAATGAATCCCTGCGTCACCAGATTACAACACGCAGCTACGATTCTCCAAACCAGATGATTTCCTCTTATTCTGACACAATTTACTGATGGAAGCAAGCCTGCCAAGTGAGTGACAGTCGGTGGTGAAATATGGTGTTGTTGTTTGAGATTTGTATGTAAGAGTTCACCGAACTGCTTCTGTGAATCAGATGTCTCACGGAAAATGTGTTTGTTTCTGCGCGTAAAAGCAAAAACATCGCCAGCTGTTTGGAATGAAAGCTTTCCTGAACTTTGCAGAAGATTCATTTGCAGATGAATGAGTTCGAACAGGCTGAGCAGCAGAAATGTCTCCGTTGTAGTTTTGTGAGTTGTCGTTGATAGATTGCGCTTTAATTGTGTCCCTGTGTTTGGGTCCACATATGATCACCAGAGATGTTTGGAGAATGTGCGTTCGATTTAACCTGGACTTTTTCCACACTGGCTGTTCACAGCTAACGATGTGCTGTCAGAGGAAAAAGGGGAGTGATGGAAAAGACAGAAGGCAGGATGAGTAAGGAGCGGAAAACGATGTCGGCAGAAAAGAATAAGACTGTTTTAGTATGGACTTGCAGTAAATGCACAAAAAGAAGAAAGATCTGGAGATTTATCTTAAAGAACTTGTAAAATCAGGATCGTTTTGAATTACTCGCATGCATTTATGCAGATTTGCTGCCTGTTTTTTCTTTATCTGTCCTGTTGGTTGGATGCTTCTGTACCTCCATTAGACATTAAGGGCTGTTGTAGTATCTCACCGCTTTGAAATCAAACATGCTAATTATACATGATGAATAGTGACTTGTAAAGGAAAGTCGCACACACTAAATAACTTTCACATAGAATCGCAGGAAAGAAATTAATAGAGATTAATGGGATTTTGGTGAAATATATTATAATTTGAATATATTTAACTGTTTTTACACAATCACAGTGTGAGTTTACAGCTTGTTTTTACATTTTTGACAGTTGATGATACTGACTTATAAACTGTCTAAATTTTTCTAATCCTTTGCAAGAAACTCTTCTTACTCCATGACACAAATTATACATCAAAACGTATGCGTTTTTACTCAGCGCATCTCTCACAGCTGTTGGTCTTCTTTTAAATCTTCCCAGAACACAGAGTGCGCACACCTCAGCTCAGTGGTGTAGTCTACATTTTTGTACTGGGTATACTGTGCTTAGAAACCGAAGTACACCAATCAGTACAATGTAATCGTCAATTTATTTTGATTTCTAAGCATATTGAACATTTCAAAATTTCTCTGACGTTTCTATTTGAATAAATGAACAACAAACTTTGTGCAACAGTTGGCTTTGTATTAAAAACATTATAGAATTTATAAAACTGTATCAAAGCAAAACATATTCCAAGTATTAAGTAGCAAGTGCAGAAGTATTACTTGTACAAAAAACAGGTTGAACCAACTCAATGTGTCTATAAAACGTTCCAAATGTGTTGACAATGACACATGCCCAATGATACGTCACATATTTATTGGGCACTTTTAAGTGGGCATACTGAAATTCCCAAGCTTTTCTAATGGGTAGACTCTGTATACCCACGTATCACGTAGACCACACCACTGCCTCAGCTTCTACAGAACTTCAACGTGCGCCGCATCATGGCAGCACTGATGAGAACTTTGCTTCAACACATTTTTTTTTGTTCATTGTTGCTTTTGTTTTGACTTCTCGCACCTGCACCGCACTCCCACGCTATGGGTATGACCACGACATGCTTTTGGAGTTGCGATCGTCGGTGAGTGAGGACTTTGGGCCGACTTTGGGGGACTCTGCAGCGGACATTTTCTCTGTCTACTGGATCGACAGAAATGAGTCGCATCTGGGACACCTAATGTGTATTGCTGCTGCACTATGTGGCTGAATCATGTATGTCACTATCTTACCATCATATTTCATCTCCATGTTACTCACTACCTGTAGTGGCCTGTCGCACAACCTGTATGGTGTATGTTGTGTGCAACATGTATCATGTGCATTTAAGCAGTGCTACTGCTCGTGAGGTACTCGTTTGTATGATTAATCCTATCTTAACCGTTATATCCTACCATGTTGTTTACTATAGTCATTTTGGACCTTGTAGATGTTGCATTTCTTTTTCACCTTTTGGTGCTTTGTTTTGTGCTTTTCTTGCATGCTTTGGAATTAATTTTTTATTTTTATTTTTTGGCAAGTCGAGACGGTTCTCATCCCGAGCAGTTCATTGCATTGTTGACCTTGTGTTGACCTGCACATGACAAATAAACAATAAACAATGAACTACAGAAGTTATACTTTAGCTTAAATGTGTCCTTTTAAAACTAGAAGATTGGGATCTTTGCTACATCTTGTTTATAAAACAGCAGAAACAAAAAGTGCATGACGAACTGATTTGGGTCTGATACAGACTGTTGGGTTAAAACAACTACATGCATGAAAACAAGAGGTCATCCTGGTCCAAGTTTTTGGTGGATATTGGCCAATTGTGGGAGTGAGGGACTCGACACTGGATATTTAATCTAAACCAGCTTTGATTGGCAACAGCTGTTGGCTGAATGCACACACGCTAAATACTGTACACACACACACACAATGACATTTGGCGACAAGAAACAAAAACAGTGCAGGGCAGTATTTTGGTTGTGATTTCTCCAACAGACTGTGTTCATGTCGGAGTGTTTCTGTTATTGTTGGCAGAGTTCAGCTGGCGATGCCAAAGTGACGGTGATATCAGCACCTCTGGGCTTCATGGCCATCCGTACAGATGTGAAACAGCCAAAAATAACAAAGGAAAAGAGAGGTACGCTCATGAAGGAATGCTGCTCTGAGGTTTGATTTAAAGACACCTGATCTAGTAGTTAGACTCATCGGTGCATTGTGTGAATTAACGTTTAATGGAAAACTAGTAAATCAGACCACCGAGTGTCCTTTCATTACATTTAATAGTGTATTCAGCTGTTCAGAGAACATCATATGCTCTTTAAAGATTTTGTATCGTGTGTAAGTTATTATCAAACCTAAACCTGTAAAAATACATGAGCCCTCAATGAAAATAATCAGTGTCAGATTAATGTTTGCTGTGGGCTCATAATATGACACATCCACGTAATATTTTCACGGTAAATTTAAAGCTCGAAGCTACTGATTCTTTGGGGGGAAACAAAAAAGAAACAGCCACACTTAGAAACGGGCAAATGTTTTAAATTAGAATTAATTTTTAGTTTCAGTTTATTTAAAAGTTTACTTTTAGTTACTATTAACTGCGTTTATTTATTTATCACCTGCTGTCAAATTGAAGGGCAGTTAAGTTTTTGTCCGTGACTGTAATTTGTACTCTGAATGAAATTCTCTGAAAATGATGACTGAATGATCATCAACTTTTGGAGTCACCATGCTTCAAAATGGCCACCAGAGCGAAGCACCCTTAGGAAACTACAACTATGGCTACAGCTAAGTCAGCCCCACAGACACTGAGCCAAAGTTTGGTGTTGAAGTAACTTAGAGTCAGGCCCAACTTAAACTCTGAGCACTTACCAGTGATCCAAAATTTGTTTATAAAACTTTGCCAATAACTTTTTAGTCAACTCTGCCTGTATGTTAGCAAAATGTTTCTCGAACCACTGGATAGATTCTAACAAAACTTGTAGAAATCAATTATTAAATGTACATCTATTCTATATTTCTCACAATTTAAGCTGTCAGACTCCGCTATGTAACATTTGTCAACATCAAACACTTTAACTGTGTCAGTTTTACAGATTTTAGGGTAAAGTTTGGCTATTAGCGGAGCATCAATGCTAACAAATTATATAGCCGCACATTAGCTGCAGTTTATTTAGATCTGTCTAAAGCTTTTGATACTGTAGATCATGACATCTGATGCCATAAGCTCTCAGACATTGGTTTCTCAAACCACACTATTGTTGGCTTTCTAATTATCTCTCAGGCTAAAAGCAATGTGTTCAAAACAATGGTACTTCTTCCAGTTATTTAACTGTCAAAAGTGGTGTACCACAAGGCTCAGTCTTAGGATCCACTCTCTTTACAATCTATATAAGTAATGCAGGTCAGAGCATCCCTAATGCATCCTTACATTTCTATGCTGACGATACAGTTGTTTATTGTCGAGCTAAATCAGTTGCCAAGGTTTTCCATCTTTCACAGTCTGAAGTCGACATCATTCCTTCAGATTCGTTCTGTCTCAAATTGGTGCTAAATGCTGATAAAACCAAAGGGATGTTGTTTTTAAACAGAAGGTTGGTATCATCAGTCCTTCCTCCTATCTTTTCTACGAATGGTGTTCCTATTGAGGTTGTCGATTCTTACAAATACTTGGGAATTGTGGTCTATGCACATCTCTCTTTTAAGCTGCATGTCGAAAACTTGATAAAGAAACTGGAATTGGGTTTATTTTTCATAAATGGATCTTATTTAACTCTGAAGGCTAGGAAATGCCTTGTAGCTGCTACTTTCCTTACAGCCATCGACTATGGTGACATCATTTACATGGATGCTCCTGCAAGCACTTTGCTGTTGGATCTGTCTAACACACACTCTTGAAATGGATTGCCCGTGACTCGATGAGACCAACCTGTATAAATAAAGGTTGAATGAAAATATGAGATTAAAGGAGATTGCATGAAACTTTGTTTAGAAGGTTCGACCAAAACAGCTATAACTCTACTCTCTTGTATCAAAACAATAGTTCAGTTTAAATCTCTTACATGAAAAGCAGCAGGTGATGAGCATTCCTTTAAGAAATTATAGTGTTTCTGTGCTGACTGAGTAAAAGCAGCTTGAAAGTCATGAAATCAGCAGAATCAGTTGCTGCACTGGAACAAATGTAGGAAGGGGGTTTGGAAGCGTTTACGGTTTCCATGACTGATGAAAACAGTGGCACCTGTTGTAAACCAAGGTGTTAAAACCTCTGGTTCCTATAAATCCTTGTGTTTCTTTTTGATTTTAGTTTTATTTTACACATGTATTTGACAGCTGAGTGTTTTGGGATGAAATGATTTGAATGAAGAGGGCGTTGACAAGTTTCAGCTGTGAGTTCTACAACACTTCAGGGAGAAACGGGACTTTTTTTTTTCCTGAGAAAGGGCCGTTAACTGGAAAAGCAAAGTGGTTTTTGTTTAATGTGGCGAATGAGACGCTCCATAACATTTGACATTTTTAGGGTTTCAACAGAATAAAAGCTGTAGGAACCCTATTTCTTTAGTGCTTATGTTAAATGTTTGTCCAGGAAAAAAAACAAAACCTCAACTATGATAAGTTTAAACCCCAAATAGCTCATTGCACATACAACATAAGATGAGCAGTGATAGATCATACATCATAGATATACCTTTAGGTCCAGCAGGTCCTGGGTCTCCTTTCTCTCCCTGCTCACCGTCAGCCCCAGCAGGTCCTATTATTCCCTGGACACCTTGCATTCCCTTTTCTCCTGTAGGTCCTGAAAAATCCCCAACACATAAACATAAAACCAGGCTGGTAATGAAATGCTGAGATTTAGACTAACAAAAATTATGCTAACAGCAAAATACAGACTAAGCACGTGCTAAAACAAATTCAGGCATCTGTCGCTCCACAAAGCTAACCAGCTAATGCAGCATGGGTAACCCATCTAACCTAAACTAAATGAGATTTAAGTTAACTTCTGTTTCACAGAAAACTTGTGAATAGCTGACATAAACACACTCAATTTTTAATTTGCGTTATTATAACAATACTTAAAAAAATGAGACTAGAAACTACTTTCATGTGAGCTAATTTTACTGGTTTATGTAGTTTGCTATTAGCAGCCATAAAAAACAGTCTTAGTGGATACCATGGCCTCTATTAAAAACAACCTCGGCCTCTGGGTCTAAAAAATTAGGCCGATTAGCGTCCATTTTCACCAATGGCCAGTAAGGAACTTCTTCTAAATGCAGTTTTGCTTCCTGACTACTGAGCTTTTACTTGGTTTGATTTTTTTTTAATTTCTCCTATTTAGATGAGACATTTAAAAAACAAGTTTTTGAACTCTAACAAAATTAAGTCAAGTCCTCTGGATGGTTTCTTTTTGTTGAAACGTTTCGTGTTTCATCCAAAGGCTTCATCAGTCCGAGGAGCCACAATAAACTCAAAGTCTTAAAAATAACACCTTCTCATAGTGAGTCGACCAGTCTTTGAGTCTTTGAGTCGCACCTAAAAGAGTGGTGGGGCTGAGTGCCTGGAGGTTTCACATGTGGAGTTGGACAGTGAATTCAGCAGAGAAGAGTCTGCTCAGAACCGTCAAGTAAGGGGGAGGGGTGTGTGAGTGTTTACAAATGTAGGTAAATGTAGATGTTTAACAACTAGTTAAAATATACCAAAATGCAAGAAATTGCATCTACTTTATTCAAAATTTTCTGGGGGAGGACCCCCAGCCAGCCCGTCCGCTATCTGCATTCTGGCATCAATCGGTTTACAAATTAAGCTCCGAGTATAACTTAAGGAAATACAAAAAGTTCCTAATTACTGGGTTTAAGACTTCTTCTCTGCTGCATGTTATTTCCATTTGATATTTCATATTTTACACCAGGTCTTCTGTAAATGGACATCTCTACCAGTCTATTTCAGCCCTGTTCACCATTCTACACCAGATCTGCTGAAAAGCTTTTACAAAGAAAGCGGATGGAAGCTTGTTTCTTTAATATACAAACCAGATTCCAAAAAAGTTGGGACACTAAACAAATTGTGAATAAAAACTGAATGCAATGATGTGGAGATGGCAAATGTCAATATTTTATTCGTAATATAACAGATGACAGATCAAAAGTTTAATCTGAGTAAATGTAACATTTTAAAGGAAAAATATGTTGATTCAAAATTTCACAGTGTCAACAAATCCCAAAAAAGTTGGGACAAGTAGCAATAAGTGGCTGGAAAAAGGAAATTGAGCATATAACGAACAGCTGGAAGACCAATTAACACTAATTAGGTCAATTGACAACATGAGCTTCTCAGAGTCAGTGTCTCTCAGAAGCCAAGATGGTAAGAGGATCACCAATTCCACCATTGTTGCGCAGAAAGATAGTGCAGCAATACCAGAATGGTGTTACCCAGCGTAAAATAGCAAAGACTCTTTAAGTTATCATCGTCAACTGTGCATAACATCATCAAAAGATTCAGAGAATCTGGAACAATCGCTGTGCGTAAGGGTCAAGGCCGTAAAACTCTACTGGATGCTCGTGATCTCCGGGCCCTTAAACGTCACTGCACCTCAAACAGGAATGCCACTGTCAAGGAAATAACAGAATGGGCTCAGGAATACTTCCAGAAAGCATTGTCAGTGAACACAATCCACCGTGCCATCCGCCGTTGCCAGCTGAAACTCTACAGTGCAAAGAGGAAGCCATTTCTAAGCAAGCTCCACAAGCTCAGACGTTTGCACTGGGCCAGGGGTCATTTAAAATGGAGTGTGGCAAAATGGAAGACAGTTCTGTGGTCAGATGAGTCACGATTTGAAGTTCTTTATGGAACACTGGGACGCCATGTCATCCGGACCAGAGAGGACAAGGATAGCCCAAGTTGTTATCAACGCTTCGTTCAGAAGCCTGCATCACTGATGGTATGGGGTTGCATGAGCGCTTGTGGCATGGGCAGCTTGCATGTCTGGAAAGGCACCATTAATGCAGAGAACTATGTTCAGGTTCTAGAACAACATATGCTCCCATCTAGACGTCATCTCTTTCAGGGAAGACCCTGCATTTTTCAACACGATAATGCCAGACCACATTCTGCAGCAATCACAACATCATGGCTACGTAGGAGAAGGATCCAGGTACTGAAATGGCCAGCCTGCAGTCCAGATCTTTCACCTATAGAGAACATTTGGTGCATCATAAAGAGGAAGGTGCGACAAAGAAGGCCCAAGATGATTGAACCGCTAGAGGCCTGTATTAGACATGAATGGGAGAGCATTCCTATTTCTAAACTTGAGAAACTGGTCTCCTCTGTCCCCAGACGTCTGTTGAGTGTTGTAAGAAGAAGGGGGGATGCCACACAGTGGTAAAAATGGACTTGTCCCAACTTTTTTGGGATTTGTTGACGCCATGAAATTTGGAAACAACAGATTTTTCCCTTAAAATGATACATTCTCTCAGTTTAAACTTTTGATCTGTGATTTGTGTTCTATTCTGAATAAAATATTAGATGTTGGCACCTCCACATCATTGCATTCAGTTTTTATTCACCATTTGTTTAGTGTCCCAACTTTTTTGGAATCCGGTTTATACAGTAAAACTTGCATGATAAAACACATTTTTGATGACCATTCATCGTTTCCTACAGAATACTTCAAACCCCACTGAACCAGTCTGAAACACTGCAGAGAGCCTGATCAGATATCATATTTCTTTTTTTATTTGCGTTGTAGCATTACACTGTAAATAAACATCTAAAGGACTTCTGTCTGCAAAATGCATGTGCAGCTTTTAAACTGGAAAGCCTCCTGTCAACAGCCTGTTGTGAAATCTGTATTGTTTTTCAACAAATATAAGACTTTGAGAAAATTTGTTAAGTGCACTCAAATGTCTCAAAATTAGTGCGGTAACGACTTATTGATTGCACCACTGGAGTTAAGTTTAATTCTTTTCAAATGTTGCCATACTCCTATATGCTCTGAATGCTCAGAAATGTAGATGGAATAATTATACTGAAAGCATTAGAGCCAAAAACGCAAAATAAACTGATGAATGATGTCGTGTAACTCAACACGATCCAACAGTCCAGTGGGAAAACGCCATCAGTCATAGTTTGGATCCAGAGCAAAAGTGTTTTTATTCTCCTGCAGGTCGGTCCAAGTGGATCGTTTAACGAGACAAAAGAGGCTGGAAGTGATGAAGGATTCTTTTGGCTTCAATGCACACGAAGTAACATAAGTGTGTGCTGTTAAATACAATTTGTCTAGACCTAGCTAAAAGAATGGAAAACAGCCTTTGGCATTAAAAAATAATCTGGAAATGACATCTCTAAGGTCCAAAAAATAAACTTCTACTTCCTACTCATTATTCAAAGCCACATTCATGTTTTGTAATTGTGACAAACACACGATCGATACCAATGAAACAGGATGAGTTAGTTTAATAATACCATATGGGATTTTGATTACCATGTTCTGTTAATACCTTAAATAAAACTTTGCACAACTGTTCACGCTAAGAAGAGCAAGTTAATTATTTTAAACCTTGAAAAGTACAAAAAAAAACCATATTGGTTAATGTTGTTTAGCTTTAATATAATGATCAATTTCCTGTTTAATAAACAAGCATTAAATAGACCACAAAAAGAAAAATATAAATCTGTTTTTTTTTTTTTTTGTTCTTTTATCTCTCTCCTAAAGTGATTAGCGATAAATCAGGGCTGATGCTAAAGTCGTGGCTCAACTTAAAAAAAAATAAAATAAAAGTTTTTGGTTTTCATGAATATGTCGCTTATAGCGTTTTTACAAACGTTTGTAATTCTTTGCAGATTAATCAAGTTTTAATCTTTGACGCCTTTGTCATAATTTATTCTTCTTTTCATTCTTGGCAACACTTGCTTTCAAAACAGTTTGCAATTTTATTTTCTGACTTTTTTACTGGGCAGCACGGTGGCTCAGTTGGTAGAGCTGCCACCTCTCAGCAAGCAGGTCACCGGTTCAAATCCCGGCTGGGGGCCTTTCTGGGTGGAGTTTGCATGTTCTCTCTGTGCATGTGTGGGTTTCCTCCCACAGACCAAAAACATGCATGTTAGACTGACTGGTAACTCTAAATTGTCCCTAGGTGAGAGTGAGAGAGTGAATAGTTGTTAGTCTCGTTTGTCTCTATGTGTCCCTGTGATGGACTGGAGACCTGTCCAGGGTGTCCCCCACCTCTCGCGCAGTGACTGGATATGGGCACCAGTGACCCGAAAATGAACAAGCAGGTAAAGATAATGGATGGATGGACTTTTATTTTTACCATTCTACTTTTAGACGAAGTCTAACTTTGTGCACTTTAAATTAAAAACAATATGGTGAGTGACGGAGGAGAGGACTTGATTTGAGCAACTTCAGATTATATTTTGAGGAAATCCCCAAAAGCTTGGAACTCCACTCGGACTTTAAAACTCTTCAAGCTGTGTCACATTTTTTTTAAAGATCTTGAGCAAACTGTTTGCACTACGATATGTATTGGGGGATCGTTCTTCGATACAATCACAGTTCTTAGCTCAAAATTGATAAAATTACCTGGTAAAAATACCTGGATTATAGCAACTTTTTAAGGTCAGTCACAGTGGTGGACAAAGTACTAAATTCTAGTACTTAAATAAAAAAAAGTATTGATGCTCATGGTTAAATCGTACTCAACTACAAATAAAAGTTGCTCAGTCAAAAGTGTACTCAATTACTGAAGTACCATACGTAACATAAAAGCTTACAAAACAGTGAATGTGCTGCACAGAATAATCTAGCATAATCCCTGAATCAACAACTGGCCAACTGCATTTAAGGAAAGAAAAACGGCAACAGCGGATTACAAAGCTGAGTCCTAGAAATGTAGTGGAGTGAAAGTCATAAGTAACCCAAAACACAAATGAGTAAAGATACTCAGAAATTGTACTTAAGTCCAGTACTCAAATACATGTACTTGGGTACTGTCCACGGTCAGTCATCTTGAATATTATTCATTTGTTGCTGTACATCCAGTGAATCTTTTTGAGCTTCAAAAAAATCTATCTAGTGGTTCATCCAACATTTTGATAGCAGACAAAAGAAACGCACACTGACATGAGCAAAAACATGATTGCACGCCAGCGGTATTCTAGCCAAATATAAAACAGGGGTGTCCAATCCTGGTCCTCCAGAGCCACTGTCCCGCACGTTTTAGACGTTCCTCTGCTCCAACTCGCCTGATTTCAATCAATGGGTGACTAAGAGGCTTCTGCAGCACAAGAAGAGGTCATTCAGCCATTGAATCAGGTGTGTTGGAGCAGGGAAACGGGTAAAACATGCAGGGTGGTGGTCCACGAAGACCAGGATTGGACACTCCTGGTATAAAACGTTGGAGAGCATAAAGAAAATCTCTGTGTAGCACAGAAAAGCTCCACCCTGCTGGGAGGCACCTGTTTGAACCACTTTACCATTAAAACACACAGTTTTTTTTTATTTCTATTAAACTATTTGATGATTTTTTTTCATTGTTTCTGGAGGTTTCTTTGAGTAATTATTTTTGCTACATTTTGTAGTGCCTCGTTAAAGAGCGGTTGTTTTAGGTTTCGGAGGTAACAAATGTGCTTCTAATTCACTTTGCTGCATCGTTAATTATAGAGAAGCTGTTTGTTTTTTTTCTGTTCGGTTGTTTTCATTCACTTTTTCCTGGAACTATAAGGCAGCAGACGCAGAGTCCCCTTTCAGCAGGAAGACAACACTTCTTGGAAATGTCAGGGCATGTCAGCAGGCGACCCGCGGGGTGATGATTCAAGAAGTACCAAACAGAAGGGGGCCCCACAACATCTGGATTCATACAGTTGTTGATTGTATTATGCGGTCTACTTTAAAGAAAAAAGTAATTCTTTCTCAGTCCTGAGTTAGTAATTTCTCCTGGATGGAGGTTTAGATGTTTTTTTTTTACACAAAATTTGAAGATTGATGATGCGTCCCGCTGGCCCTGTCTGAAAATAAATCCCCACCCAAAGTCTGGAGCTTTGTTTTTTCTCATATAAAATACCTTTTAGTCTCTCCACTCACCACGTTATTAATGCATCAGAATGAAATCACAAAAGCTGCGGAGGAAACGCCTGCTAGAGAGCGTTCTGTGCCAGAGGTGTTTAAATGTCCGTCACTCAATCATAAATCTGGTTAATTAAATAAATGGCCTCTTAATTTCCAAATATGGTGTTTAAACTGGATTGTGAGCCGCTAAACGTCATGGCTCAAGACTTTTAATTTGCAATATGCATGTGTAGTGGTTATAAAACTGTTGCAGTTGAAAAAAACATTAAGAAAAATATTGTTTTGTATTTTAGTAGTCCCTCGTTTATCACGGGGGATCCGTACCCTGAAGACCCGTGATAAGTGAAAAACCGCAAAGTAGGAATAGTAGTACAAGTAGAAAGTAATAGTTTGTTATATATATATATATATATATATATATATATATATATATATATATAA